CCCAACAAGCTACAGACAATACTACTTTTACTTTGTACTTCAAGTATTTTTTAAGTCCAGTTTCCATTTGGTCGTTAGTTGTCGCTGGCACGACAAGCGGTATATGTGAAATAGTCTAATATAATAATAGTCTTTTTGTGTGTTATATGCAAATCAGTCTTAATGATTGCAGAGTTTTATAAAGTTTGTTGACACTCTATTACATCAGCCACTTGTCGTGCCAGCGACAACTAACGACCAATTGGAAACTAGGCTTTAAGCTTTAAGGATACTTTGTACTTTTTACTTAAGTACGTTTTGCTTCCAGTACTTTTTACTCTTACTCAAGTCGTTTTATTGTTAATTACTTCTACTTTTACTCGAGTACAAATTCAAAGTAATTTAGGGACCGTTCATTATTTATACTCGGGGTTGGTACCGAAGAGATATGGGTTGGGTAATCAAGTTTTTGACTAGCTCATGGGTTTGGTAAAAAAATCAGTTATGGCTGTCTGTCTGACTGTCAGCTATAAAATAAAACTAAAGTAAAACCATGCATGCATTGCAGAATATGAAGAAATACATTCTGTACCAATATAGACCATCAGTGATTAAGGAAGGACTCTATTATTGATCAGCAGGAACGTGATTGCTTCGGCACACTCAGTGAACTTGAGTGTGAGTGAGCTTTTAGAATTTAGGCAACTTCTGATTTCTGTCACCGTAATCTTGTGTGTTTAATTATTATGAAGTACAGTAACACATGGCGGTTGGGTAAACATTATTTTGACCAATGTTGAGGTTGGGTAAATAAAAAATTTACAGTGTTTTTCGCTTCTCTTCGGTATCGACCCCAGGTATAAATAATGAACGCTCCCTTAGGCACCACTGAGTACAAGTACAACTCAAGTTGTAAAGGTTGCATGCGACAGTTTTAGGCAAAAGTTGTGTAATATAAATTGGCCTATATTTCACTTAAAAATGTCACAATGACAAAGAACAGAACTGATGTCGCGCAGTGAATAAATCCCGGCAATCCCCAATCGCTGGACAATCAGCAAAGGCTTTTATGAAATGAACACTCCGCTGAAAGACAAGTAAGGCGTGCTGATTATGTAACCATGCATGCGTGATTACGTAACAGATCAAAGGCTACAGTCGTAAAATATCTGCCTCGTGCATTGTCCGCATGCACAGAAAAATGAAGCTCTGGGGCAGGTTGCTCTAAGCTGGGTTAACTTAACCCTAGGTTAACTTAAAATTCGGCAAAACAAACTTCCTGACAGCTTGTCTATAAATTTGGAAATATTTCTTCAGAGATCTTGTCTGGATCGATAGGAGTTTTCTTCTCTGAAGTTTTGTAATAAACAGACGTGCAGAAATACACAAACTAAAACAGCAAGTTAAATTTTAACCCAGGGTTAGCGCTAACTCACCTTTGAACAACCGGCCCCTGGTATACAGCTATTTCAATGGATGAGTTGCCGGTTCCCAGACCCCCTTTGTTTTGCGCGGTCCCATAATACATTGCTGGCGATCCCATAATACATTGAATTATTTGCAAATGCAATGTATTATGGGATCGCCAGGGGGCAATTGGCCGCGCAAAACAAAGGGGGCCTGCGAACCGGCAACTCACCATTAAAAGTCGAATACGAGCGCGAAAGGCTTGCTGGGAATTGCTAAAAAATTAATGAATTTATTAGCGATTCCCAGCAAGGAATATATATATATATATATATATATATATATATATATATATATATATATATATATATATATATATATATATATATATATATATATATATATATATATATATATATATATATATATATATATATATATATATATATATACGGACGCGAATGTTGTAAATGGCTTAAAAAAACGACGAGTTCATTGGCGAAGTAATTTTAAAAATAAACGTTGTCTAAGCCAAGAAAATCAAAGTTAAAGTCTATGTAAATCAACATGAATCTGTATCACATATACAGACTCCTTCACGCCCGTGATTTCTTTTGTATTTTCTTCATGAATTATTTAATGAGTTTTTTAAATATATATATATATATATATATATATATATATATATATATATATATATATATATATATATATATATATATATATATATATATATATATATATATATATATATATATATATATATATATAAACAGTCTTGTTTTTCGTTATAGATTTAGCAGAGCGAATTAATTTGTTATCTTAAAATGTTTCAATTTCTCGCTACTTTAAGTTTCATGTCACTATTTGTGACAATCATCAGGCGATCAAAATTAAAATTAAAAAAAAATAAATTAAAATTCATTAAAGTTTTAATTTAATAATGTTAATCGCCTGATGATTGTCACAAATAGTGACATGAAACTTAAAGTAGCGAGAAATTGAAACATTTTAAGATAACAAATTATATATATATATATATATATATATATATATATATATATATATATATATATATATATATATATAGCTTAAGATTTTGGTTTACGAAACACAAACAGTTATATACAACTATTTACAACATGAGCGGCCGTGTTGTATCGGATATACAAACTCGAGCCGTAGGCGTGAACATCCCACTGAAGAAGCCCTCACCGGCGAAACGTTTGGAACATAATTTTTAGAATATATTTTATGTCTGTGTTTTTTAAATTTTTTAATAAAAAAATGTATTCATACTTAAACCAGACATGATATGTATATACATAGTATAGTTGAAGATTTGTAATCTAGGCAAACGAACTTTGTAACCCGATTCAAAAATCGTCGCGTCATTCTCAAGTGTTTATATCTAAAGGATAGAGTATATGATCTAAACAATATCACGTATACTGAAACCACGCAGCATAGAAGAGTGTTTACTAGAAGCTGTGTCACGTCGGTCGTTGTTGATTCGGGTTAGCAACACTCGCGGGAGTATATATCCGCGTCGTCAGATGAAGGATTTATGTTATTAACGGATGGTAAACATGCTTTTTCCTCAGGGGTTGTGAAAAGAAATAAACAAAAAACATGCACTTGGCAATTGAACAAAAGAATAGAGCGGTGTTAATAGATTTTATATATACGTGTATAAAAGTTCAGTCTGTTGTGGTCGCGGTTTGCGGTCAGCAGATCGTTGAGAAAGGAAATCAAACTATTCTTTCTCAATTCTACAAGACGTCTACATATGATGAAAAGATTTAACACTATCTTCAGTATCTTGTGATCAGACTAACGCCGCCAGTTGACCACTTGACTAACAGGAGGAAACCTAAATTAAACTAACTTTTTTCATATTGGATAGCTGCACGATCAAGTTGAAATGTCTTTTCAGTCATAGTGACATAGAGGGCCAGTAAGAGCACTTATTAGTCAAGTGCTAATAATTTATATGATCTAAACAATAATCTTAGTGACTCATTAGTCAAGTACACTTAACTTAATTTGTGTTCGCCCTATAGCTGACTTGATAGCTCAACCACGGCAGCTTATTGTAGAATACTATAGTCTATACCAACACTGGGCCACTACGTTCGAGATATCTTTTTCAGGTATAGTTCAGACACAAACCACGGCAGCTTATTGTAGAATATTACCTATACACTGGACCGCCACGTTTGAGATATCTTTTTCAGGTAGTTCAGACACAAACCACGACTGGTTATTGTAGAATATTATACCTACACTGGACCACTACGTTTGAGATATCTTTTTTAAGCAGTTCAGACGCAAACCACGACAGCTTCTTGTAGACTATAGAAAACGATGCTGGTATTTGCTATATTTGAAAGCAAAATTTATGCACTGTTGTATGCGAATACGCCCCCTTAGACCACAAATTATTCATAATTTTTGTCTTGCGCAAACTCTGTCTTACCTTTAGTATACAAGACCCCCACGTTTGAGATGTTATGCTATATATAGGTCTGCACGTTTGAGATGTCATGCTATATGGCTTGACAATATACATTTGACAATATATAATGCTGACTCCTGCTGATTTTAATTAAAATAACCTTATAGTCCTGCAGGAATTTAAATACACTAAGGGGGCGATATTAGATCAGGAGTCTGATACAAAAGCGTACGATGTTATAGATCTACGTATACAATAGCGTGTGAATATGCGCAAATTGGATCAGACTCGTCGCACAGCACGAGAGACGCACGACGCCAGATTGTCCTCAGTACTATCCTCACAGTGTGTCCTCAGACGTGACGTGCTAGCCTGCGTGCAGGCTCGTGACATCATCGGTTCTGCTGCAATCCCAGATCGAATTACACTCACTGTCAAATCGTTGAATCGTGAATGCTATTGAGATGCCTAAACGAAGCCTTGCCATCGCTTTTTTTATTCGCCGCGTGAGTTTGTAAAGGCTGATTTAGACTACGCAACTTTTGCCTAAAACTGTCGCAAGCAACCTGCTTACACTGTTTGTGTTGTACTGTGTAAATCAAGCACACAATTCATCTAAGACAACGTCTGAAGCGAGTTGTGTGCTTGAATCTTGATTTTATCATAGATTTTATACACAGTAGTCAGTACAACTCAAGTTGTAAGCAGGTTGCATATGCGATAGTTTTAGACAAAAGTTGTGTAGTGTAAATCGGTGTTTATACTTATAGTCTGTTAATTATTACTGTCTGTTATAGTTTGTCAGTCTTTGTTAGTTTGGTTTGCAATGATAAGCTTTCGTATTTATATAATTATATTATTCAAAAACAAGAAAGTTTCGGATTGGTAAGACCGTAAGAATGCAACTGTCTGACTGAAATACAAGGGAACTCTCGACGTTTCGATCGATGACCCTTCGTCGGTCAGAAAGTTGGTGTCTTTTCGAAACCGTCGAAGTTCTCCTTGTATTTTTCAAGTAGTTGCCTATCAATCCCGTCGAAGCGTTCCTATTATTGGCATATTAGTACAGACCGTTAAAGTTGAATATATTCAAAAATAGCCTGTATGTCTTGTGGCGGCATACTAGTTTTGGTTTGTTCATAGATTGCATTCATACAGTTGGCAGATTAATTAAAATTTAAAACTGTGGCAATTGATACACCAGGCTGGAAATCTTAGTTTAAAGATAAAGAGCTGGGGCCGGTTGTTCAATTAGGTGGATTAGCGCTTACCCAGGGTTAAAATTTAACCCACTGTTTTAGTTTGCATATTTCTGCACGTCCATTTATTTCAAAATGTCAGAAAAGAAAACTCCTATTGATCCAGACATGATTTGTGAAGAAGTTAACCTAGGGTTAAGCTAACCAGCTTTTGAACAACTGGCCCCATAGCCCAGCAAATTAAAACCAAACATAATAAAAGTAAAAAAAATATTGGCTAACGTTTCGTTGTTCACAATACATCATCATCATCATCATCATCATCATCAACATCATCATCAACATCATCATCATCATCATCATCATCATCATCACCATCATCATCATCATCATCACCATCGCCATCATCATCGCCATCATCATCATCACCATCATCGTCATCATCGCCATCATCATCGCCATCAACATCATCACCATCATCACCATCATCGTCATCATCATCACCATCATCATCATCATCATCATCATCACCATCATCATTTTTTTTAAATTTAAATCATGTAAAATACATGATAGTGTTATGCGGACTGCCAACTTACGTATACTCTCATCCTCGCTTAAATTCATTAAACCAGATTAACAAGCAAAATAAGTGATCGCGAACGCGAACTGTCGTGGTTTCAGTCTGAACAATCTGAAAAGATATCTGAAACGTGGTGGTCCAGTGTAGGTAGTATTCTACAATAAGCTGTCGTGGTTTCAGTCTGAACTATCTGAAAAGATATCTGAAACGTGGTGGTCCAGTGTAGGTAGTATTCTACAATAAGCTGTCGTGGTTTCAGTCTGAACTATCTGAAAAGATATCTCAAACGTGGTGTTCCAGTGAAAGTGTAGGTCTGTCGTGGTTTGTGTCTGAACTATACTGCCGAAAATATCACAAACGTGGTGGTCTAGTGGTTTTCTTGTGCAAGTAATTGTCATCACGTTGTTATATAGGAGTAGCTTTGTGATTGGTCAATTCACTGGTACAGTATTTTTGATCAGTGGTTGAATTCAACAATGAAACATAATAAAACTATACCCAGTATATAGTGACTTAATGGACCATTTGCATTATAGACTAAATTTTGATCTAGACAAAAATTTCATCACAACTTGAAAGAGCATCACAAAATTAGTAATATTCCAAAGTTTCGTTGCGAAATGTTGTAAAATGCGGATAATATAGCCCTGCGAAGTTTGCCGTTTTTAAGTCATTTTGTATTGCGCACGGGAAATTGACAGCCCAATCGGGTGTTGGGGCATCAATTTCCCGTTCGTAACTCCAAATTGACTGAAAATTGCAAATTTCGCAAGGCTATATTATCCGAATTTTACAACATTTCGCAACGAAACTTTGGAATATTACTAATTTTGTGATGCTCTTTCAAGCTGTGATGAAATTTTAGACTTGTTTAGATCAAAATTTAGTCTATAATATATATAATATATATAATAATATATAATATATATATAATAGATTGTTTAGATCAAAATTTAGTCTATAATGCAAATGGTCCATTATCTGAAGACGACAAGTCATGAATAGCCTACTACGTATGCAACTCGGTGAAAAACACGAATACCGATAATTTTTTGTCTATCACCGATATGTTTGGCTTGCGTTGGTCCAACGTCATGCGTGGACAATATTAGGCGATGTTTGATGGTTTTGAGGTATGGACCACTAATTTCTAAATATAGCGTCAAATACTAAAATATATTGAGATTTCTTCCGGTTGCGGTTCAAATATATTGATGGGAAGCAACAACGTCCACAAATGTCACAATCACGCACGGACTGGCGTGTTTCCAGACACTCAGCTAATTTCCCATTCTGTTAATTTCCTGATTTTAAATGTTTGACGCGCGCCATTGCGCATATCGAGTACGTCAGGACGAATTCTTTCAGCCAAATATAGCAAATCCGCAGAATTCGTGTGAAGGCATCACTGTGTTAGTTCCCTCATGAAACATTCTTTACAAATCCTTCAAATTCTACTGTAATCACAGAAACCAGATAGTGTAAAACCAGTCTTGTAACATGAATTATCGTTATGTTTGTGATGTTACTCTGTCTCTGAGTGTATATCCACACCGGGCAAGCTTGAAAAATATGCCTGGCCACGGTGGGAATCGAACCTACGACCTTTGGAATACTAGCCCAATGCTCTACCAACTGAGCTACGCGGTCAGGACGGTTCGAATGACATGTGATATTTCGGAACTGAGTCGAGTTCCTTCGACATCAATGCAATCTAGTAATCATGATTTTTTTTCTGTGTTGGTGTTATGTACTCAGCAAACTCAGGTGAATATGTGTGTGATGTTACTCTGGGTGTATATCCACACAGGGCAAGCTCGAAAAATATGCCTGGCCACGGTGGGAATCGAACCTACGACCTTTGGAATACTAGCCCAATGCTTTCTTCAAAACTGAGCTACGCTAAGCTTTCCCGGTGTGTGCATGATGTACACTCAGTAACATCACAGACATATTCACCTTAGTACATAACACCAACACAGAAAAAAATCATATACAATTAATTATTTATTATTATTATTACAATTTATGTAAAAACGTATAGATTTATGACCTAGCTAGTACTAACTTCCCGACAAAGGGACTTCGCTGGAAACGTCAGGCGAATTTCTCCTTGTATTTTTCATGTAGTTGCAAGATCCCTACCAACGAAAGTTTGTTAAAAACTGTGACCCTTCAGCGCAAATGCTGTTTTTCAAGGGGCCGTTTGTCCACTCAGTGCAATAAAACACTACATATAGTCTACAATAAAATACTAGCCATACAATAATACGCGAAAACAACTCAATTATGCAGCTGACGCAAGATGAACATTCTTAATAAACCGCCAAGTCTTTATTCGTTGAAATAAAACGTTTTGTATAGAAATAATCTAGGAGAAGATTATAAACAAACAATAAAATATATTAAATACATATTAAAACTACTTAAAACAACTCCAACTGTGAATTTTTCTACGCTAGCTTCCCCTTTGGATCGGGACAGAAATTTATTTTCCTCTTACTGAATACTGTGGATATAATATCTTCAATTGTACATATTTTATAACCTTTTATACTAGATTAGATTCAAATACGGTGACCTGAATATAGGGCTAACCACAAGGTCTACCTTTTTCAAATACCAGTGTAATTATATATTGTTATTTGAAATAAAGTATCATTATTATTATTACTATTATTATTATTATTAATTGACAGAATATTATTCAATATAACGCTGTAAATTAACATTTTATACATGTTTGTCATTTCAAGCATAATATATCAGAATTTATCTATACTTCTATATAGGAAAAAGTACAAGATATTTTAGAAATGATAAATCAATATTTTAAGACTATGTTTAGGGGAAATTACTATGCTAACAAAATGCATATCGTTCCTAGTGTCAATTAGCTTCGCCTTCGGCAGCACGTATCTTGCGATGTAGAAACTTCTAATGTCTGACGCGTTGTTTGTTAGTGCGTATATATATTACATATGTAAGGAACTAAGGACTTCTTTTACAGGAATGTATATTCAGCACGTTATTAAAATTATTTATATAGGATTTGAAAGAATGCTTTATAAGCGTGTTAGAGCGACAAAGCATAAGTGATGATGACGATGATAAACTTTATTTAACTACACTAAGCTGCTTTCCAACAAGTTTAAAAAAATAGTGGGTATTAACAAGTACGTATTTCTACATTCACACAAATGTAACATCCTCAAAGACCCACGACCATCTTCTTTATTGATGGACACTAACTCCCATAATGCGTCCTCATTCGACCAATGAAATCACTCACATGCACAACCCAAGAACCAATCAGACGCTCTCGATACAGCAACGCAAAGAACAGCGCGAACATTCGAACATTTCATAAACATTCTCTTAAGAACTTGAAGAATCGATTTGAATGCTTAACAGAAGTCATTTTTAAATCCGAAGAAGTCTAAGGTCTATAAGGTTTAGAGTTGGAAGGACAATCTTTTTTGAATTAGCTGCATATATACAGGGTGTATAAAAAAAACTGAACTGATTTGAAATTGCTCTCAATTTCGCAAAACAGCAATTAGTATCCAGTTTTTGATATAAGTATATAGCTTCTTTGGGTACTTATAATGTAGAATAATGAAAAAAATTTCTCCAAATCAAATTTTGTAAACCAGCGGGTGTTTCTTTTCCGACAAACTAAAAATGGCTTGCGCACAAATTTAAAAACTTTAATTGTATTTTGAGTTAATGGATGGAAAATTTGTTGGGTTTTTAAGTACTGTACAAAATTTCAGACAATTTGCTTTAGTATATAAGTCCTTTAACTATTCATTTTTTCCTGAAAAATCAGCCTTTCGCATGCTTAATTAATGCCTTTACCTAATTTGCATTTGCTGACATATGCAAATTATGCAAAGGCATTGCAAAAGGCTGATTTTTTAGGAAACAAATGTGCGTGAATAGTTCAAGGCCTTAAATTGAAGCAAATTGTCTGACATTTCGTGCAGCAATGGACCATTCCCCAATTAACCAAAATTTTGAACTCAACAAGTCTAGACAAAAATTTCATCACAACTTGAAAGAGCATCACAAAATTAGTAATATTCCAAAGTTTCGTTGCAAAATGTTGTAAAATGCGGATAATATAGCCTTGCGAAGTTTGCAATTTTCAGTCATTTTAGATTACAAACGGGAAATGGTTACCACTTCTGTGCGTAATACAAAATGACTGAAAATTACAAACTTCGCAAGGCTATATTATCCGCATTTTACAACATTTTGCAACGAAACTTTGGAATATTACTAATTTTGTGATGCTCTTTCAAGCTGTGATGAAATTTTTGTCTAGGCTAGTTAAGATCAAAATTTTGGAAAAGTGGGAACCATTTCCCGTTTGTAATCTAAAATGACTGAAAATTGCAAATTTCGCAAGGTTATATTATCCGCATTTTACAACGTTTCGCAACGAAACTTCGGAATATTACTAATTTTGTGATGCTCTTTCATACTATGATGGAATTTTGTCTAGACTTGTTTAGATCAAAATTTTGGTTAATTGGGGAATGGTCCATTAAACACCCAACACATTTTTCACCCATTAACTCAAAATACGATTAAACCCGTTAAATCTCTTGCGCAAGCCATTTTTAGTTTGTTGGAAAAGACACCCCCCCCCCTGGTTTACAAAATTTGAGTTCGAGAAATTTTTTTCATTTTCTACATTAAAAGTACCCAAAGAAACTATATATATTAAAAACTGGATACTAATGGCTGTTTTGCGAAATTGAGAGCAATTCAAATCTGTTTTTTTATACACCCTGTAACGCTATTCACGTATTTTATGACGAGGTTTGAAGAAAAGTTACAACCACAAAAAGCCACTTTTAAACTCGTCTAATGTTGTTAGATCGAAAAAATATTTTTCTAAAACATTGTACTGTACACGCAAATACAACAGCAAAATAGCACGACGTCTTCGTTTTTGTAGTAAAAAGAATGAATCTCACTTGGCGCCACATATTTGAACTTTGAAGTCGGTCATGATTGCTGCTATTTGCGCAAATTCAAGTTCAAGTGTGCTTTCAGCAACCATTGGCATTTTTACTGGAGCTAGGATTCTAGATAGGGAAGACTACAACTTTTATTGCTAAACAGCGAAGAGATGGGTATCATCGTACCCCCCCCCCTATTTCTGCCCCGATTTCAACTTTTCACAAGGACAGTCCTTCTGCCCAATGAGGAGGCCGAAC